ACAACTTTAAAGATATCATTGGTCTTCCAGCTCTTTGAGTGCTCCCTAGTTTGTTTTTGGACCCGCCATTAGTGGCTGCCCTGAGCTCTGGAGCTCCAACCCTTAATCTTTCCTATTTCCATTCAGGTTGAAACCTACTTTGATCAAGCTTTTAGTTACCTATCTGATGCCTCCTGAATATGTCTTAGGGTCAGTTTTGTTTCAGTACGTTCCCTGTGATGCACCTTAGGGTTTTCTTGTGTGCGTGCTAACAGTGCTATATAAATGAAAGCTGTTGTAGATTATTCGCTGGAGTTTGAAATTCTTTGGTCTAGGTACTAGACAGTGATGCTCCTCAGTGGGTTGGTGGAGGAGGTGTCTTGGGAAACATTTTAGTATTCTGTGCTGGGAAGCTGATGGTATTAAGGACTAAATTTCAGCAGGATCTTAGCACACATTTAGAGAGCCTTGGTACCACTAACTTACGTTTAAGCTTTCTAGATTGAATTAACTGGAGATAAGAAAAGGAATAATTGCAATTCTGAAGTGTATTTCATGACTTATGTATGTCTCATAGCACTTGGTATCCATTTAATATTTTTGAACTGTAGCAACGTAGCTATCATGGCATCCAAGTTACACCAAGCAAGCTCCCACTAACAACAATATGACAATAGCAGATTGCCCACTCTTCAAGTAGTGTAATGGAACTTTTTAACATCCTCTTGAGTGTCCCATCTGAAAGATCGCACATTTGAATTTTATTTTACTCACTTGTGGGACGTGGACATCGCTGGCTAGGCCAGCATTTTGTTGCTGTCCCTAGTGGAGAAGTTGGTGGTAAGCTGCTATCTTGAACTGCTGCAGACGTGGCCTGTAGTTTGACCCACAATACACTTAGGATGGGATTTCCAGGATTTTGACCAAGCAACAGTAAAGGAACGGTGGTGTATTTCCAAGTCAGGGTGGTGAGTGGCTTGGAGGGGTACTTGCAGAAGGTGGTTTTCCTTTGTATCTGCTGCCTTTCTCCTTCTGGAAGGAAGTCGTTGTGGGTGAGGAAAGTACTAAGGAGCCTTGGTGAATTTCTGCAGTGTATCTCATAGATGTACACACTGCCACCACTGAGTGTCAGTGGTGGAGTAAATGATTGTTTGTGGATGTGGGGCTAATCAAGTCGGTTGCTTTGTCCCGGATAGTGTCTAGATTCTTGAGTGTTGTTGGAGCTGTACTCATCCAAGCAAATGGGGAGTATTTCATCACATTTGTGATATATACCTTCTGGATAGTGGGCAGGCTTTGGAGAGTTAGGAAGTGAGTTACTCGCCACATGATTCCCAGCCTTTGACCTGCTGTGGTAGACATTGTGTTTATGTGACTAGTCCAGTAGAGTTTCTGGTCATCAGGGTGTTGATAGTAGGGGTTTTGGTGATAGTAACATCATTGAATGTCAAGAGGCGGTGGTTAGTTTCTCGTCTATTGGGGATGGCCATCGCCTGACATTTGTGTGGCACGAATGTCACTTGCCACTTGTCAGCCCAAGCCTGGATATTGTCCAGCTCTTGTTTCATTTGAGCAAGGACTGCTTCAGTATCTGAGGAGTTGCAAATGGTGCTGAACATTGTGTAATCTTCAGCAAACATCCCCATTTCTGACCTTATGATGGAGGGAAGGTCATTAATGAAACAGCAAAAGATGTTAGGGCCTAGAACGCTACCTGAGGAACTCTTGCAGAGATGTCTTGGAGCTGAGATGACTCACCTCCAACGACCACAATCATCTTCCTACGTGCCAGGTACGACTCCAGCTAATGGAGAGTTTGCCCCGATACCCTTTGATTCCAGTTTTGCTCAGGGTCTTTGAAGCTACACTCAATCAAATATGGCCCTGATGTCAAGGGCTGTCACTCTCACCTCACCTCTGGAATTCAGCTCTTTTGTCCATGTTTGTACCAAGGCTGTAATGAGGTCAGGAGCTGATTGGCCCTGGCTGATCCCAAACTGAGCAGGTTATTGCTGAGCAGGTGCTGTTTGATAGCACTGTTGGTGACACCATCACTTTACTGATGATCGAGAGGAGACTGATGGGGCAGCAATTGGCTTTGTCCTGTTTTTTAGGTACAGGACATACCTGTGCAATTTTCCACGTTGTCAGGTAGATGCCTATGTTGGAACTGTACTGGGACAGGTTGGCTGGGGAGCTATGATAGAAGCACACCCTCAGTTCTTTGTTAAATTAGACTGAATTATGTACTCAAGTGTCTCCGGGGTGACACAAACCCTGAATGTTTTGAGTCAGAAGTGACAATGGTATCCACTAAGATACAACTGACTGGAGACTGTAGCTTCTGCACTGATGTCTTGTTTAGGAGACTCAAACATCGCAGTAGTTGTTTCTACAACAGACAGTTGACTGATGAACAGTGAGGGAATGCCAGAACATGGACAAAGAAGGGGGTAAAAGAATTGTCATTAAAGACTGAATATGGATCAAAGATCTGTTGGCAATAGAATGGGAATGGAACATCCTGGGATATTGAGGATTTAGTAAGGACAGACGGAAAGGAAAGGCAATGGGGTTGAGTTGCTGGTAAAAGAGGAAGTAGTGAGGAAGGATATTATCTGTTTGGGTACAGCTCAGAAATACCAAGGGGCAAAAAACATGATCAGGAATTGCATATAGACCCCCAAACTGTGGGGATGATGTTGGGAATGACAGGAAATTAGAGACGCATGCAATCAAGGAGCATTTGAAATTCTGGGCGACTTCAATGTGCATATGGATTGGGAAATCAAATTAGTAATTATACCACAGAGGAGGAATGTCTGCAGTACATATGGGATGGTTTTCTGGACCAAAAGGTTGAGGAACAAACTAGAAAACATTGGCAATCTTGTTGTGCAAGGCCCTTGGTAACAATAATATGAAAGAAGTTTTTATCAAGATGGAGAGTGACATAGTTGATTTGGAGACTAAGGTCCTGAATATGAATAGGGGAAAATACAATGGTATGAGGCTGTGGTTGGCTATAATAGATTGGGGAATATTACTTAGAAGGATGACCATGGAAAGGCAATGGAAAACATTCAAAGGGCGTAACAATTGTTCTTTCCTTTCTGCGCAAAAGTAAGACAGGAAGGTGGCCAAACCATGACTTACAAGGGAAATTAGCAAGAGTATTGAATCCAAGCAAGTGGCATGCAAGTTGGCCCAAAAAAAAACAGCTGATCTGAAAGACTGGAGGCCTGTGATCAGCAGTGTTTCACAGGGCTTGATGCTGGGTCCACTGTTTGTCATTTATATGAACAATTTAGATGACAATGCAGGAAGCATAGTTATTAACTTTGCATGAGGACACCAAAATCGGTGGTACAATACACAGTGAGGAAGGTTATCTAAGATTATAAAGTGATCTTGATCAGTTGGGCCAATGGACCAAGCAGTGGCAGATGGAGTTCAATTTAGATAAATGCGAAGTATTTCATTTTGGTAATACAAAAAGGGGCAGGAAATTGTACAATTAATGGTAGGGTCCTGGGCAGTATTGTAGAACAAAGAGACCAAGGGGTTCGGGTACAAAATTCATTGGAAGGTATAGGGAGATAGAGTGGTAAAGAAGGTGTTTGGCACGCATTTATTGCTCAGGCCATTGAGTACAGGAGTTGGAAAATCATTTACCAATTGTACAGGACATTGTTGAGGCCATCTTTGGAGGGATATGGGCCAAATGCAGGCAAATGGTGCTACATAGTTTGGGAAATTTTGTCTTGCATGGATGAGTTGGACTGAAGGGTCTATTTCCTTGCTTGTGAGTCTATGACTTGACTGAAGTGTATAAGATCCTGAATGGTGAAATAAGGACAAAGTTCTTCACTTAGGCGGCTGTCAATCTTTCGATTTCTTTACCCTGGAGGGCTATAGAGGCTCAGTCATTGACTATGTTTAAGACAGAAATCGAGGGATTTCTAGGTATTAAAAACACCAAGGGGGTAGTGCAGAGAAGTGACAGTGGCATTGATCCAGGATAATGGTGTAGCAGACTTGGGAGGAGGGGGCACAAATGGCCTTCTCCAGTCCCTATTTCTTACTATTCTCTCTTGAGATGGTGGTGTGGTGCTGACATCTCTAACACTCCTGGCCAGGGGGTCACCTGCATTGGAAACCTGGCAGCTCAACTGACACCTTCAATGGCAAGTAAACACCAGCAGTAACTAGTGTAAACACAGACAGCCCAGGGCCATCCAGTACAGAAAAGGCCCTTCAGGCCATCAAGTCTGTACTACCAAAAATATACTAGCCACATGGCTCCCACTTCACCACAATTAGCCCTTGGCCTCGAAGGTTATGACATTCAAAGTGCTCATCCAAGTACTTTGTAGAAGTTGGGAGTTTTCCCACTGAAACTACCCTCCGTGGCCATGCCTTCAGGATTCTACCACCCTCTGGGCCAAAAGGATTTTCCTTAAGTCCCCTCTTAAACCTTTCACTTTAAAAATTTTGCCCCCTTGTCATTAATCCATCAATACAGGGCAACAACTTCTTTCCATTCACCCTGTCCATGCCCCTCAATCTTATACACCTCTATCAGGTATCCCCCTGAACCTTCTCTACTCCAAATAAAACAACCTGAGCTTATCCAGCCTCTCTTCATTGCTGAAATGCTCTATGCCAGGCAACATCCTGGTGAATCTCCTCTGCACCCACTTCGATGCAATCACATCCATCCTATAGTGTGGGGACCAGAAGTGCACACAGTACTTTAGCTTAAGCCTAACCAAAGTCCTGTAAAGCTCCAACATAACCTCCTTGGCTCTTATAATGTACGCGACGACTGATAAAGGTAAGTATCCTGAATACCTTCATAACTACCCTATTAACCTGCCCTGCCACATTCAGGGATTGGCTAACAAGCTCATCATGTTCCTCGGAGGTTCCTAGCATCTTGCCATTCATTAAGTACTCAAAGAAATTGCATGAAAATAGACCATAACCATTCCTGCAAAATCACTCTGCAAGGGAACAGCTTTGTGGTGAGATCAGAAAGACATTTATTTCTCAGCTTTAAACAGAAAGTAAACATGTGAATACAGACACGGAACTTCAGAGCAGGAGCTGACACAAAGCTGGAGCCATTCCCAAGGATGTGAAGCTGCTCACCAGGACAGGTGGGACCCAGAGAGGGGACAGCAGCTCATCTGCTGGTGTTGAATGGTCGCACCTTAAACATGGAAGGTGTGGGCCCATCTCAAAATGTTAAAGGAAATGACAGAGGCTGATGGATATTGGCTCCAAGCTCCATGGGACGTCCCAGTGTTTGGTTAGAAAGTGGGGCAATTCTGCAAAGGGGCATGGGCATTGCTGCAAATTCCGTTAATAATGAGAGCATCAGGAGGATAAATGTGAAGGCAGGAATCCATGAGGGAGGAACGTCGCAATCAAATAGCCCACATCCCCAAGACTCCAGCAGAAACCATGCGAGCTGATAAGAGTTGTGTTGGGCTTTCAGGGAGATGCCACACAGAGTTCAATACTTTTCTGCAAATGCCAAATAAAAATCCAGATTAACTTCATCAATAAGAGATTTACAGCACAGGCTAAGATAACTTGACACTGAATGTAGGCCCCACCTTGGTTTTACAATCTCATTTCCCATCAACTCCCCCTCCCCATTCTCACTACCTCCTCCTTTCACTTTGAAGCAAGGACTGACATCAACTCAAATACTTTCAACTTGTTGTTTTGGTTTTGGCCACAGACTGATCTGTCCAAAGAGTTCCAAGTAATTTCCGCTCACCCTGGTGAATAAATGATTTCACCTGTTAAAAACCACAACCAATTGTTGGCGCATTTCTGAAGAGTAGAGAGAAAGAGAGGGAGAGCAGAGATAAAATGAGGAAACGAAGACAGCAAGAAAGAGAGAAAGAGAGAAAGAAAGCAAAACAGAGTAAGTGAAAGACAGAAAGAAATGTACTGTCCAAGCTTTCCATCTTGAGCTTATCAGGACACACACATGAATACCAAATTTCAAGCAAACCATCACAATAAGTTAAAACACAGGAGAAAGAAAAGCATATTGATTGGCTGGTGAGTCAATTCTGATTGGCCATGAAGTAAACAATGGGAGCTGCAGGCTCCTCAAGTTCAGGGTCATTTAGAAAGGAATGTATTCTTTCAGACATCTTGCATTTATTTGGCATATTTGAAGATGGATGAAGCTTTTGCTCGTGCAGCACAGACCGAGCAGGTCAAGTCTGGGCCTTGTGTGCCTGTGACACACAGCTCAGTGTCATCAAATGGGGCAGGGTGGTGAAGAAGACTAAAATGATCTTTTATTACCTCTTTCCGTCTTGGTGGTGCTAAAATTTGACAAAGAAAAACAGAATCAGTTAGCAACTGCTATGTACACAGCAAACATATTACAAAACTAAAACCTTTCACCTCAAGCCCTGGAACTTAGGCCTGAGCCAAATCATCCCGATGTCAGATTTTGTGCTATTGAGTTTAAAGGCCATGTATTATGATTTTTTTAATATAACCAAGAGCTTGGGCATTTTAAAAATTCTGAGGGGATGTGGCCAACACTGGCAGGGCCACCAGTTGTTGATTGCCCCTAATCTTATTGCCCTCGAGAAGGGAGGTATTTGGCAGGGCAAATAGTTCAGATCATTCTTTCTGGAAGTTTTTCCCCTTTGGGTCACAACAATATTTTTACAGAAATTAAAAGATGAGTTAGGGACTTCTCCTGATCTGTGCTTAGGGGCTTGAGAGTGACTTAGGTCCTCCAACTGAGGCTACCCATCATGTTTTCCCTCTCTTGATCAACATAAAGAAGCCTCTGTAAATTTACTGGCATCATTCAGACGGGTCAGGAATGCCAGATGTCGGAGAAGGATGGCCCTTATTATTCAGCATTTGTTACAACATTTCGGCTTTGCAGTGATAAACCTGTCGTCGGCCCCTGATCTCCTTGATCCTTACAACGGAGGTAACAAAAAGGGACTTACGTGATAATCGTAGTGGTACCTCCGGTGCTCTTCCCTGCAACACAGAAAAGAAAGCTGTTCAATATTAGCAAGGAGAATTTCAGTTCAAAAGGCCTGACACCTCTACGACCATAATCCACAGCCTCATTCCGGGGCAGACACCCTCCAGAAGAAATTGTGTGGTCATCAGTTTGCTGTCATGGTAGAACACCAGTTAAAACCAAGGCCTAAGGCCTACAGCAGCTCACCACCGAGTTCAAAGAGACTCAATGAGATGGTGAAGTAAATCCAAAGAAGGATAAGTGACTTAAAGAACAAAGAGATAATATAATGGATTGCGGTCATCATGTCGCAGGGAGGAGGAATAAAGTCTCATCATAGGATTGATTAAATAAGGAGAGAGAAAGTGGGGAATCAAGAGAGCGAAAAAGCACAAAGCAAGAGAGAAGAAAGGAAGAAGAAAGACAGAAATATATGTATAGAGAGAGACAGATGTTTAAGCATTTTGCGAGTTGCAGATTAAAAGAGCTAAGGCAGCTTTATTCTGTATCTAACCCCATTCTGTACTTGTTGGGGCATTGTTTGATAGGGACAATGTCGAGGGAGATTTACTCTGAACTTAAAACCCATTGTGTAACTGTTTGGGGAATATTTGATGGGGAGTGTGTCGTGGGAGCTTTGATTTCGGTTTAAAGGAGTAGAGGGGTACCGGGGTTGCTGGGGGCACACAGAGGAATTATGAGACACAGACAGAGAGAGAGGCAGGAGGAAAAAGGCAATGGAGAGAGAGAGAGAGAGAGAGAATGAGTCAGAAAGAAAGAAAAAGAAAGAGAGACAAACAACGAGTTGGGAGTGCCTGAACAAAGAGACAGAGAAAGACAGATGCAGACAGAAGGACAGCCTTTTCCCCTTAAGGCACCTGCAGTATGCTGCCCAAATGACTGTGTCAATGGTCATAGATTAGAGAATAATAAAGACTCACAGATGCACACTTCGCCATGTCAAACTACTCACCGCCTGATGATGAGAAAGACATTCCAGCGTCCCCCAGGCTGCAGAGAGAAAGAAAAAGAACAATGTTTCTGAACATGGGGTACCATGGTCCAACCTGCAAACAGCTAGGATGGCAGGGAGAAAGGGCACTGCCCAGCAGCCTGGTCAAGTCAGTCACCATCTCTCATCTGGTTCGTGCCTGTGACCAATAGACATCGCCAAGAGAAATCCTGGTGGAGTCTTCATGCCTCACGATGCACATGCTCCTCCCTCAGGGAGGATCAATGGGAACTGAGGAGATCTCGTGGGGCATTGTCCAGGGGCAGCCCATGAACAGTTGGCGTTCTAACACTCCATGTGTCACTGGTCATCAACAAGGACCACCCATCCATTGGAAAGCCGACTCAGTTCTTTCTGTCCCACCCTCTAATGACACTTCCCACAGGGCCATCCCCGGACTATTCCAGTGCTAATTCAAGGTGTCAGGGTTCGCATTGCCTTGCAAGTGGCCCCTAGAACGTGGGTCGATCACCAACTTGTGGGTCATTCTTGCTTTCTGGTGATCCGCAGCAGAGATGGTGACTGAGTGACCCTTCCTTAATCTCAGTCCACTGTAAACATCACGACTCTCTCGTGCCACCCTGTCTATGTGGACACCTTCCTGAACTAACTCAACGCTCACAGAATCCCCAGCCTGTCAGCTCGCAGTTTTGACCTGAAAAACGCGCAGCTAAAACAGGCACCATCAACAATGTTTTGCAGGAGCAGGATGCATCTGCACTGTGGGATCTCTGTGCTGTACCTTTCATTGCCTCCGTTCAGCAGAATCCTGTACTGCCCAATCTCCTTCTCTAGATTCATCTTGATGTTAAGCAGCTTCTCGTATTCCTGTGTCTGCTGAAGGATGTTGTTTCTGATTAGTCCCAGCTCTCCCTCTAGTTGTGCGATTTTAGACTGTAGTCCCTGAAGCTCCATGTCGTATCTGGCCTCAGTATTCATTAGGTTGTTCTCCAGGCCCTTCAGCTGCATATGACAAGGCAAGTTTCACTCAGGTACTTTTTTTTAATAAGCCATTTATTAGCTATGCAGCTAGTGAATGGTTAGTTTTATGTCAGTCTTCACACAGCTAGTGAAGACTGATGACCTGAAAACTAACCACAGAACTAAGAAAACTATTTTTATTGACAAAGAACTGAAACATAGTCAATCATGAGTATGGGTACCACAGGTTGAGCATGAAAACATGTCAAACTTCATACAATTCACAGAATTATATTGAAGACTAATTAATATTTAGTAGCAGTCAGAATATAAAGTTCAAGTCGAGAAGAGTGTTTTGCAAAAAATACATCAACTCAAAGACAAACAAATTGAGTCAGAGGACTCAGGACATCAGGTTATAGTCCAACAGGTTTATTTGATATCACAAGCTTTCGGGCGCTGCTCCTTTGTCAGGATCACCTGACAAAGGAGCAGTGCTCTGAAAGCTTCTGATTTAAAATAGACCTGTTGGACTATAACCTGGTGTCATGTGACTTGTGACCTTGCCTACCCCACTCCAACACTGGCACCTCTGAAAGAAATTGACAGCAGTGGTCCATTAACTACAATCCCAGTTCTCTCAAGAAATAGAGCAAATAATTAAATACATAAATACAAGTCAATTTTAAACTAACAGAATACACAATAAATTAAGCCCAGCCGAAATGGAAGCTGCGAACTGGTTTCAATTTTGACTGAAATGACACTGGAATAAATGGTGAGGAGTTACTTACAGAGCCGAGCAAGGAGCTATGCTCAGTTTCCAGGATCTGTAACTGATTACGGTGTTCAGCAAGCTCTGCCTTCACTCCACGACAAGCCTGGTTAGCCTCTGTGGTCTGTGTAACTTGAATCTGTACCTGAGAAATCAGAGAAAGAGAGAGAGAGAGACAGACAGAGGGTTACTCCATATGTTTTGAGTGAGGAGGAACACATCGATTGACAATGGCCTTTGACCTACTGTCCACATGGAGGGCAGGGAAGGGTTGGCAGAAGCAATTCTTATGAAGCGGAGCTCGATACCCCTCTGATAATTTAAAACCAAAACACCCAGAGAGGCTTGCCTTGCCTCATAATCTGTTAAAGGAAGTGTGAAAAGTAGTGTAATCTGCCCCTCACCTTCCAATCTGTTATAAAGGGGAGGTTAAATGAAATGAACTCCTGACAGTCAGTCATTCTTTAATCAACAAATAACAATTTATTTATTTAACTCTAACAAACCGAAAAATTCACCCCTTAACTACTAATTATTCCTAAATATAAAACAAAATTCTAATGGTATGCTGTTCCAATAAATAGAAGTCCCACTTATGTAAACCAAATTAATTCAAAACTTAAGTCTCTCAAAATTATAGCTGGCATATGTCTTCCTGAATGTTCGGTGCCTTCTCCGCTGTTCTTCAGTCAGGAACGCCTTTCTATATCAAATTCTCGTGTCAGGAATATTTGCTAAGATTGCTGCTGTGCCTTTAGTCAGATGATGGTTTTCTGAGAGCTTAGAGAATTCTGTGAGAGCCAGTGATTTTCTCTTTAGGGCTAATGGGTTGTTAACGCTATTAGATGGCAGTTGCTCTCACACCAATTTTCAAATACCTGCTTCTTTTATACCCCTGATGACCTATTAATTTCTTACAATACAATTGATCCTAGGGTTGTCAAAACCATCAGATTAAATTTAATTAGATTTCAGTTTCTAAGTGCCTGGTTTAATTAATTGGGTGATATTCAAACTGGCTGCCTTAATAACAAAATAAACTATTGCCAAGGTTGCAAACCACACAGCCTTTGATACAATGTTTTAATTTCAGCAGCTCTCTGCGCACTGCACTTTTTAAAATCTCCAAGCTAGAAAAACACATCTTTTAAAGGCATCACGCACTCTTCTCCCCCCACCCCACCCATCATTTCACAAACATCAAATTATAACATCCTGCCTTCCAATCCACAAATACTTCATCAAATTTCGCAATATAATCGATTGCTTCAAATGGGATAGGCACATGGGGGAAAGTAACATTTGGTGGACATTGAGGATTGAGGTTCAGGAGGCAAACAGGCTGGCTGGATAGCTCGGAGAACCGCCAACATGGAACCCATGGACAGAGTGGCCTCCTTTGGGTGCCCCTG